TCGCTTGAACAAACGAAAAAGAAAAAGGAAAGGGAAACGTCTAAAAAATTTATAACTACGCGCAGCGTGCAAGCGGAGGGAAAAGGAGCGACAGGAGCAACAAACAGAATGGGAAACGCCAGGATAATGCAGGATTAATTCGTCTAATAAAGGCGTAATTTTCGAAGCGAAAGAGCACCGTTAAAAAGGAACACCGCCGCCGGCTGGCTCGTACCGAAAACCAGAAGAGGTGGAACGATATTGCATATCTCTCTGGCCTCGTGTCCGTGAAGAGTGAAGAGCCACCCCGTTCGGTGAAACGTGGAACTCATAACGACGTCCAAGGGAACGCGGGACCGTAACTCGTTTATAACGACTCGTTCGAGAGCAGAACGAGCGATATAGACAATGACGGAGAGAGAGAGATAGAGAGAGAGAGAGAAAGATAGGGAATTACGGCATAAAGAGTGAGAGAGAAAGGGGAGGGGAGTGGAGGGAGCCGAGTCGCGACCGAATTTCGTAATACCGGTTGCAGGATGGTACGCGCGTCGCATACAAAACACAAAGTATGCAAATCGCGGGTGCCGGGCGGCCGAATTGAAATCCCCGTAGTGTCCGGCAATTACAGACCGTCACGGTGACTCGCTTCCGGAATTGTCTCGAGCACTTAATTACTAATTCCAGCCAAGTATTTCGTTGGCCGGCAGCTTCGCGTTGAATTACACGCATGCCACCTTACCCTCCCACATCCACGGAGGTTCGTTCGTTTTCCGCGCGTACGTACGTTATCGCGAGCATCGTGGACATCTCGACTTTGATGAACGTGAACCATTCCCGTAGCGAAATTCCTCGAAATTACGGCTGCGTAATTGCCTTCTGTTATCCTTCTGCCCGAGAGATTTCGTTTTCAACGCCGGGGATGCGATTCTCGGAGCAGTTCTTTCTCCTCTTTTTCGAAGGAACGATTGTTAGATCTTTTTTTGTTCACCGAGTATGCTCGCTTTCTTTTTACGATAACCATTCATTTTATAAGGGTTTCAAGGAACGTTTTATTACATATATCCCAACTTTGAGAGGAGGAAAGTTTGCGAGAACACTTGTGTTTTTATGATCCTTTTCGAGCACTCGTCTTTTACCTATGTTGCAGCAACTTTTACAGTTGATTTTTAGACAGAAGAGTAAGAAGTAGAGCTGAGAAGTAGAGAGAGTAGCAGTATTATACTACAACATTTTTATTTCGAAGAAATATCAGTCGATAATAATTGCCATGACTTTACTCGTATCTTTCAAGGCTCAAATCGAAAGTTCAAACGATTTTTTAATTACTTTATGAGCTGCTCATACTCGTTCACCCGTAAATAAATGGAAAAATATTTAAAACATTTTGATTGACATTCACTCTCGGATTGTTCCGTTCGCAGCAATTCGCCAATTTGCATTCGGTATCCGATGTAAGCGGAATTTCATTACTTTTAACAAACAATAATTAAATGAATTATACTAACCGATACCATTATACAACTATTCCCATATTACCGTAATACGCATGTAGCTATAATAATATGTATAAAAAAGAAATAAATATCACGCGTATCGGCAAAGCGGTGATAGAACATATGCATATGTATGCCGGATGTGGAACGATTTAATTTAAATGATAATTATAACCAATACCAGTATCCAAAGACCATTTCGCGATATTAATACAAAGCCACCATTAGGAACGAAAACGATTAATATTTCATTCTCATATATTAAACGAGATTCCAAGCTTTTTAGCTTGAATCAAAATGAATCAATTGCTCTCTGATTCGTTCTTCTCGCTAGGAGAAATTTAATATAAAAAAAAAGGAATTGATATATTATAATTATTGCTCTAGAATTATAACATTTATAGTTGGTTGAAATTGTACAATTGAAATTGGATGTT